ATTTTACGTTATCGTAACTAATGTTAAATAATTGTAGAGACCTGAAGTTTTCAAAAAAAAACACTTATATTGGAGTTTTGTAGACGTGGAAAAATCTTCAAAAAATTCTAGTTATTTTTAGACTATTTACATTTATTCGATATTTGTATTGTTTGTTTTTACGTAAATCTATTAAAACTCATTTTAACTAGTAGATAGCAGATACTAGATACTCATATTGATCTGCATAAAAGTCCATTAATAAAAAAGTGCTGTAAGTAGTCTAAAAAAGTAACCAACATAAATATTATTTTTATAAATTGTATAATATATTGCATTCGTTCTTGGCTTAAGAAGATTCAAAGATTTTTACTGTTGGATTATTTAGATTATATATACATATATTATAGAAATTCGACTAATGTTTTTTAATGGGGCTGGTTGATATTTGAAAATCGAAAATTCATATGCGTTTATGGCGCAAAGGAAAGAGGTTTACATATATTTTGAAAATATATGATTCAACAATACAATAAGACTGAAAAAAAAAAAAACCGAATATCAATTTTACTCAAAATGTCCCTACCTATTATTTTTCTGGTACGTTAGAAAAAAAAAAAAAACCTTGAACGTTATTGATTTTAAAACCAACTAAACCGATTTTAATCATTATTGACGTAGAAACGCCAAAATTAGAAAAAAAGATTAGATTTTTATGAAAACTCCGTTAACGTAATCGCCGTACATTAGGTTCGGTAGTAGTATTATGATGGCAATTATTATATTTACGTCCGGACGAAAGAAACGTCAAAAAAATTACTACAAATAATTGAATATTAATGATCAAATACGAAACGGCTTCAATTAATAACAAATTATTATTGCGTCTGACTGATTTAGAAAAAAAAATATGCTCAATGATATTATTATATTAGTACGTACGGCCCCGCTGGTGCCATTGCTATTACCGTCTTTCCGGTAAAAATTAAACCTATTTCAATTTAATTATGACTGACCGTAGAATCTGTATTTACAGAATAAGAAACACAAATCACGTTATCCAACGACAACTCGCGAGCGCGTTTTCGATTTTCATTTGTCCGTGCACGGCCGCTTGGTGGTCAAGTGGCGTTGCTCGTGTTCCCTACAAAAGGGGCGGGACACGGCCTGCGGATGGCGATTTCGCGCCCACCGCGAGCAACTTTCCCTCACACCGTCCACTGTCGACGATCCCACAACATGACAACCCGTTGCGACTGGCTGCTTGAATTACGGCTAAACCAGTAGGCATGTTGATGTATTGACTTATCATGCATTGATTTATTGACAATAGTCGATAGAATAATAACAATACGCAGTTGTAACTTATTACTGCCCGTGGATGGTTTTTTATTTCAACTTCAATGTACACAAATAGAGTTCATAAGCGTTAAGCCGTAACATTGCTTATCATCGTTTTACAAGAAATAAACAGCTCTAAACAAAAAAAAAAATAGTTTATCAAAGCAGTCGTATTTTAATCTGTGGTATAAACATTATAGCCGACAAATTGAGCACATGCCACGGGGGAAAAAAACGAAATAATTTATCAATGTAAAACCTTTTTTTTTAAATTTAAAAATATGAGTTTCGGTTCCGGTTATTTGAAAATATTTAAATTGGGTTCCGGTTCCCAATATTTTAAGAGTTTTTGGGTTCCAGAACCGGTTCTTTTACACTAACCTAACCTTTCCATTATAGGGGCGTGAGGTTGATTAAAATGTTTGCTTTTAATTATAAAATTACACCACACCGCTAATTTAGACAATCAGTTGTCGGTTATGGCGGGTTTAGTTTAAACCCTAAGTCAATGGGGATTTCGGAGCTCTTTCGCAAACGATAGTACATTTGACCAAACAATAATTTAAAATTGAATTTTTTTTTTTTTTTTTTTTAGCATACTATATAGTTTTGAGAAAAATAAACTTATCAAGCTCCAAAAAATAAGCAATTTTAATAAAAATTCGAAAAACTTATAATTTCTATTTTTTAATTCACACTAGAATTTTGTATTAAACTGTTATTATTTTTTTAAAAAGAACAAATTTCGTTGTGAATCCGAATGTCACACTAGCGCATTTCATTCATCTTAAGGTTTTTTTGTTCTATTATTATTTTTTATTGAAAATGGAATAAATGTCCTCTGCAACAGGTAACAAAATGTCCCAACAGCTTTGCAACATTTATAGTAAAACCTCTCTATAATGGAATCGTTTAGGATGAACAAATCGTTCAGTCATAAAGAGTTTTCGTTATGGAAAGGAAGAAAAAAAAAATTGAAGTTTCAAGAATACAATCATGTATTTCTAATACATTTCACATAATAGACATCTTTAAATAGTTTCGTTTTCCGTCGTAGGGAGTATTTTAGATTCTGAGCGAAATGAAGAATGTATTGGTTTTACAATAATGTTTATTTTCCATTTATTTTTTTTTATCTGTGAACAACTTTTCCACCGGAAATCCTACTCCGATTTTCAAGTGTAGCGCTTTTTCTGAAAGGAAATAATGTTTGATTTTCCCAGGTGTTTTCTTAATAAATGGGAAAAACCGTAGGATTGAATGTATTTTTGTTCCCCGTAACATATAATCATATTAATATTTCAATTGCGAATGTTTCGCGTGACCGTACACATTCAATGAGCGTAACCGAAAAACCATTGTTGTTTTTCAATAAATATATTTGTTCAATAATATAATTTCACACACAATACAATCAATAACTTTTCGAACTTTTCGAATTAATAATACATAAGTACATTATAATAAAAATAAAAGCAAATTTACAAAAAAGATACGGACATACTTAGCACAATAAGCGACTGTTGTACGTGAAAAGTTGAGAACGTAGAGGGGAAATTCAATATTTATTTGTACGCAATGATTAATCTTTGCAAACGAAAAACGATCCTGAGTGGAGTTCGGGTATACGTGATTTTAAAAGGCCGTAATATTTACAATTTGAAAATTTCGTACATATTCCTGACATTCCTCCGTTTTTTCCCGGTTTTTCCATTTTAAAATGACTTCCTTAAAGTACCATTCTAGTGAGATTTCCTTTCAGAAAAAGTGTTGCATTTGTAAAACCAATACATTCCTCGTTCCGCTCAGAATTTAAAATACAATAATTACAATTATTTAGTAAAAAAAAAAACAAAAACGATTGTTTTTCGGATAATAATTAAAAAAAAAATAGAATTTTAAGAAAAACTAACAAATCCCTGTAACATCCGAACTCTACTAAAATCGGTAAATACCTAAAGATACAGACAAATAAAAAATGTTCCTAATGATAATAATATAAACGGGAGTACCCACACAAATAGTATTCCATCAAATGGCGATCGATTTTAATGGTAACAAGTTTCCGGGCTATAGACAGCTCGGAGCATTTTCTCATCACGTGTCATTATATTACGCCTATCGGGTTGCTTTCCTGGGTCCGTGTGCAAATATTCTATCAGGTATTCTATACCGTGTTATGGTATTTCGTTCTACTCGAGTGAATTATCAGACAATTTAACGGAAATGGTTTTCAGAAGCATTCTACAAAACCCTGAAACACGTATGTATTTAACGGGTAAACCAAATAAAAGTCTCGATGCGTTACTGTGGAATATTGTTTTATGCAAAATATTTCCGTTTTAATAAAATGTATAATATAATACCTGTTTGTTTGTCATACTGTCATGCTGTCATACATATTCATACGTGGATCATTGTTTCCCTTCTAAAATAGTATTCGAAAACAATTAAAATTAAACTTATAAAAATGTACCATGTGATACGAAAACAATTGTTCGCGTAACCGTCCGCTGTCTCAAATATTCAATTTCGCATCGTCTCTTAAACAGTCAATCATTACCAGAATAAGCTCTCAATCGTCACAAATAACGTTAATATTTTTAAATTTTTCATACAAATAGATTTAGATAAAAAAAAAAAAAAAAAAAACCGTAGTAAAGTCGTACACTTCTCGTGTGTGATTTATAACGACTCACTTATGGTTTGTTTATGTTACTCTAGGCTAATAATCAGGGTTGTTCCCATAACGTACGCTCTCAAGTTTTTTTTAAATATTACGGGTATATTGCTATAGATTTGAACTCTTAAAATTATTATCTACACGTCCTTCACCCCTCTAAACCATAAAAAAAATATATGTATTGTAATAATAATGTTTATGTGCAGGTATCTATTATTTGACGACTTGGTAAACTCTATAAAAAAAAAAAATTATAAACGGGAACACAACTGCTAATAATGATTGTAATTGCACGCCTTATGAATAATAATAATAGGGAAAAAAAAAAAAAATAAAAAATAGTGTTTGCTCGATAGGAGTTATTGTTGTTTCCCGCAGTTGTCTCTATAATATTGTGTGGACGCTCGCGTTTTCGTACGTGCCAATTAAAAACGCGAATGATTATTTTATTAATTTGTATTATAATAACAATTCGGAAAATGTTAAGGTTAGGTTGGGTAAATAACCGTAATGTTATTATTATGGTTATTTTACGGTAGGTAGGTCGTAAGTGTTTGGACACGGTAGACCGCCTATTGTTGGGTACCTAGGCACCCAATTATGTTACAATACATACATTGAGCGGCACGTGTATAAATGGATGGTAGACCGCACGTACGGCTGCGAGCGAACCGCAAAAAAAAAAAATAAAAAAAAAAAAATTAATAATCAATAATTATCCGCAGTAAGTATACGCGGCTGAAACATAATTGTACGGAAAGTCGGTTCGTTAAATGCGTCATAATATTATAAACATCGCCTTTTCGCGGTATTTTTACCGCGGAATATCAAACAGCTAGCAAGAAAGGAAAAAAAAAAAAAAAAACCCATATAAAAATCCTCAGCCCCGTTTATGCACGCTATTTTTAGTTTTCCGGTTAAAAGTGTATCGACCTCGTGTTTTAATGGAAAAATTGATAAAACGTTTTTTACGAAAAAAATACACACAATTCGTGTATTCGTTTATTCGCGTTCGGTGCATGTTTTTTGAATTCTGAGCGCTGGTATCACTATAATAATATAAAGCGTATTTTTTCTCGTTTTCCGTCTGCAGATATGTTTTTTTACAGGAAATCTCGCTTCAATCGGAAATTTACAAGCGTTTTTCGTATAGAATTTCAGATCAAGTCAGTCAGTGTTCGATTTCCCAAGCGGTTGTCATAATAATTGAGAAAGTTAAAAAAAAAAAAAAACACGTAAAATTAAAACTGATAACTTTACTAAATTTAATAAATGAGAAAAGCCGGGGAAAACGTAGGAAAAACGAGAAAATAGGTAAAATGTTAAAAAAATATCATTAAAGAAAATATATAATGCATATGCAATTATTTTACCATAATATGATATAATACGAGTATATTGCAGACGAAGAAACACAATTAACCGAACTCCACTCAGTATTTGTTGTGATTTAGTTAAACGTATTCGTATAGACTATATGGACTTGAAATTTGGATACAAAACTTATATTTGCATTTCCTAGACGCGGTAAAATTTTCAAAAAATTTTAGCCATTTTTGAGCTATTTATCTTAATTTTGCAAGTTTTGTACGTTTTGTTTTTATTCGGTAGGTACCCCGTGGGAAAATTGTTAGATTAAACATAAATGCTTGAAAATTTAACAGAAGTTTCATTAATAGTCATACTTTGGGGCCGAAAAAAAAAAAAAATTCGAGCGTAGTAATTCGATTAGTTTTTGCCGAAAATCGTTCGAGTGAAGAACTTCAATTTGTTTTGTTATGAACATAAGTACATTGCGGAAATTTAGCTCGCGCGAAACAACAGTACGGGTCAGAGAAACGAAACGAAACGGAACACGGGCGTGTGGCAAAACGTACGCGCGCGGACACCGCAGTGCAGCGCCGTGCGGCGGTGTGCGCAGAAAGAAACAAATGAAAACGTTAAAATCGCAAAAAACGGAGTACGCCTGACGGAGTCGGCGTTGAACACGGCCGCGACAATGCGAATAATTATCGTCGAACATCATACCGAGTGCGTAATTGATTATTGTCGCACGCCGTTTGTCGTTGCGGACGCGTGAAACGACAATTGAATCGCGTTAGCCGACGCTCTGAATCGGGAGGCCCTTCAGACCGACAACGTGGTTTACGTGGTTTACGTTCAAATATAATCGCGCGCCGTTATTACGGGCAATATTGTCCCGGGCACCGTTACCACTGCGGGCAGCGATAATAAATCACGGCGATAGGTAATTTTTTTTTTTTCGTAATGTCGCTTTAATCGATCGTACGCCGATTTAGATACACCGGGACTGACGACAACGGTCGCGGTTTGTAGACAAACAAATTAACGTTGTACGATCGTGCGGTACGCGGTATGGCGGCCGGTATAAGATCCGACACCCCCCCCCCCCCCCNCCCCCGCCCGCGGTATGGTTATCATCGCGCGAGCGGCATAGGTGCAATTAGGGGGAGGCGCTCGCGGGTGCTGACTGCCGAAGCGCCCCCAAGCCCTCGTCCAGTACCCCCGGAGGCTAGTTATGATTCGGGAACCTTTTGACGAAAATCGTTTTCGTACAAAATTTTATCAATATATGCATGCAGATAATACATTAATTTACATATGTATATATTTATTTTACTATAATATGGCATAATATATTATATCGTTGAAAAAACAATACTATTAACTGAGCTCCGCTCAGAATCGGTTTTCGTTAGCGTTGATCAATCTTCGTCTATTACAGATACACATTGAATTCCTCCGTGTATCCTACCTTCCCAACTTCTCACCTACAACAGTTTTTTCTTATCAATTTGATCGTATCTACGTGTTGTATGTTTGCGATACGAAAGCGGTCGAAAATTGAGAGTTTATTAATAATAAATTCAATATCGCGTTTTATCGATAATAATCAATACACGACAATAATATTCCATATCGTATTGTAGCCGATTCGATACGAACATAATCATCGCGACGATACATATATATATATAAAAAAAACGCGTAAATGCACACCGTCATGCAATTACCATATATTATAATAAATAACGAAACACCGCAGCGACCGACGTAAGGGGGCATTGGTCAAGGTAAATTTCATGTACCAGGAAGAAACGATCGTGTTCAAAGTTTCGTACGCGGCGTACGATACAGGTATTATATAACAACAGTTGTCTTCTAAAAATGAAACGCGTAGGTTTTTTATACGAGTTTTATATGATAATTGTTTTTAATACGTTGGTATTTGGTCCGTTGCGGCCAAAAATAATAACAGTCATCATCATTGCCGTGATGGATATGATATAGTTAATAATAATAGCGATACTTCATAACGTTTTCGTTGATTTCTGGGTTACCTGTCGTCAAACGAAGAAAAAATACCACTGATAATGCTCTGCTCAGAAACGTTTTTCGTCAGCAATCGTCTGTCTAACCAATAAGAAGTTAAATTTGTTTTTATATCGTACCGTCCAAATTTCCTACTCAAACATTGACACGCGCACGTGCAGTATGGGACTGTGTTTGTTTTTTTTTTTATCTGGTGCAGTAATATTTTCGACTTTTATTATATTTTTTGCCGCACGTCTGCAAAATGTGTTGAAGTTTTCAATTGAACTGCACGAGACGCGATGTCCTTAGAATAACGATCAATTGACCGGCATATACGTTTTATCAATACGTAACGATTTCAATAAATAATCATAAGTATTTTATGGAAAAGTGTCGGTAAAAAAAAAAAAAAAAAAAAAAAAAATGATTGTACCTTTATCTAATTTTGTAACACGAGAATTATGTGTAGGTATACGTATACGTGCAAATTCGGCAGACTACTCGTATTGATCTCTCGAGTGCGCAAAGTTCAATTTATAATCCACGACTTGCGGAGTATATTTATAGTATAATTATTATAATTAATATCGCCACGACGACGGCGACGACGAAAATGACAACGATTATTATTATAATAGTTAATATTCACGAGACACCCTCATCAGAGTGAATATTATGCACAGAGTGATCCATTTATCACGAACCAACGAACCTCGGAGGATTTTAGTCAATTTGAATTTTTTATTTTTTATTTTTTTTTTTTTAATCTTATAATATCGTTTGAGCTTTATTTTAATACTGTTTTTAAATTGCTACCCCTACTCTCATACTACTTATCGTGTACTTAAAATGAGTACGCGCTATTTTAGTTTTCCAAATAGAAAACTAGAGAACGGTTATCATATTCAACAAATGCCCTTCACGCTACAGTCGTCCGGTCTGAAAAACTGTATTGCTGTTATTGTTATTCGCCAACGATAAATCCGATACGTCAGTGTAACGGAATGAAAGTTTTAGAAAAACATTCTCCGTTTCGAATCTCACGTTAAAAAGGAAGGTATTCAAATCGAAAGTCTATAGTCTATATTTAAGGTAAGAGAAGTGGTAGTAAACGATTGAAATCAGGAAGATGGTATTAAAATACATTTTAATCGATTCCGTAATGATTGAAAAACCGAAAGCAGAATGCGCTTAAAATCATCCGGGAAAATCGCTGGATCCGAATAAACGGACCATGCTGTATGCAATATTAATCTCGACAAGCTCACGCTGCACGAGATTGTAAATTAAACGCGAGCGCTGGATAAAAACATATACATATACATATTATTATAATGTGCGGGCGAGACATTTTGATGCCTAATATTAATCGAATTCACAGTATCGCGTCGAAACAGTTGATAATTAAGAACAATAAAGCTGCGTGAGTTGTTTTAACGAATAAATCGTTATCTCGGTTAAATTATAATTGAAATAAAGTTACCGAGTTAACATTAAAAGTTATCGGTTTTATTGGTTATAAACTGAGTTTAAGTTCAATGTTTATTTGATAATTTAATTTACACGGATTTTTTGTTGTTGTTGTTGTTGTTGTTGTTGTTAGTGTTGTTAAATTATTATTCTCGCAGTGAAAATTATTAAAACTAGAATTTATGATTTTTTTTTTTTTTTCAAAAACAAGGACGATCGAATATTAAACTTTTGGCTCCATTTGTAGTTTGTGTATGCCCGCAGTCATATACTTATTTAAAACTCGGAGCTCCACAAACGTTACCGAGTAAAAGAATTAAAAATGAATTAATTAATAATTAATTTTACGGCGGAACCTATTTAAAATTAACTTTTTATATTTATTAGGTTACAATGTAAAAAAAAACGTGTCAAAGGTTAAAACCAACGTCCAGCATTTGCATAATGCCATAAACGTGACATGGTACAATAATGTAATTAATACTATACTAATTGTTATTATTATTCTACTTGCAGTACGCCTAAAAAGATTGCGTATCTTCAATTCGAGTGAAAAACAATATTATTCGCGCTGATGTTCTCTTTTTTTCAAAAGCCAGACAAACGACCTTTATACAAATATATTTTACACTGGTGATTGCGGCGTTTGTGCAGGTAATACAATTTTCATTCGTCTGAATACGGGTTTATAATTAAGTAAACTAATGAAATAAAAAACCCTAAAAGTTGTTACTGGCTCACGGGTAAAGTCACTGTAGAACAGTTGGGAATGTATTGAATATATAGGTTGTTTAGTTTGTGTGCTGTATACATATCCAATGATAAATAGTCGAAAACGCAAAAACGGTTCTGAGCGGAGTAGTTTTGCTGTTATTTATTCCGTGTTTTAAAATGGTCCAGAAACCGATACAAATCAAATAACAACAAAAAAGGATCTAGGGAATTTCGTTTAAAATATCATGGAATGTTTCAAATAAAGTACCACTGTGTAGAAATAACGTATCTTTTGAAGTTATGCGGAAAAAGTCGGAAAATTTGTACGAACAAAAATGCTTAAAAAAACAAAAATCAATGTGTTTGAAAAAGTATTGTAAAATTTCAAAATTAGTATTTTCTTTTTTAAACCAAGTACCGTCGGACGAAAAATCCGCATTTTTTTAATGCATGACATATACATCAAACAGATCGCAGCATTTTTACTATTGACACTTCGCGTTAAATTAAGAATCTAAAAAAAAAAAAAAAAAAAAAAAAAAAAAAACAACAACAAAAATAATACAAACTAAATCGATGAATAATTATCTTCGTGAAAAAGCCATATAGACGTGTAAATATTAATATTGCAACATCCTGCAATCGATTTTATTATAATATAAAATATTATGTACATAACCCATTTTTGGACGAGTACACGCACAACGTTTTTAATGTGTATACATATTTATTGTGACTATATAATGTTATTATTGTGCATCAGGAGTGAATTTTTATTATTATTTATTTATATT